GGACTAACGGAGTGCATTTCGTATAGTTGAGGGATCAAAAAAGTGCAAAAAATTGTTGAGGGACCAAAAATGTTCATTTCTTAAAGTTAAGGGACCAAATCAAGCATTTAACCTTGATACTTAACAACCAACAGCACATGAGTTTGACCTGAATTTTCATAGCGCGCGAGGAGGGGACAACCTGTATTGTTTTGTAGAAAAGAAAATAATTGCTTTATAACTTGCATTTTGGAATTGAAAAAATGAAATTTTTTTATTGATGTTAATAAGTTAAAAGAGTATTAAATTATATTTTTTATTATTAATTTATATAAAAAATTTATTAAAATAAATTTTATTTTTAATTTAATATTATGTAAAATATTTTAAGTAAATAATTGATAAAATTATAATTAATTTTATTTTTTATATAAATTTATAATAAAAATAGACATTAAATACACTTTTAATATATAAGTTAAAAAATTCAAAAACAAATCTAAAGAAAAAGGGATAAGATATACAACCTGTTAGCTTTAGGCTTTTCCCTTCTAATTTCCTTATTTTGTTTTCTTCTTGGTCATAAATTTCTTGATTCCATATCTATGAAATTTCTTCCTTTTACTGGGAGTGTCCCTTTCGCGTCCATTTCTTTGTCTTATAGGGCTTCTTTTGTCTTTTTGAAGAGAAAGGCAATAAAGAAGAATCCCCTGCTTAACTAAACCATTCAAAGTAATAGTCCATTGGGTTTCAAGATATATTCTAAATGCACAAAGAAGGAAAAAAAAAGTTTAAACCCAACATTTGTTAGTTCTGAAAACATCAACTATTATCTCCCTCTACTTGGGAGATAATTAGAAAATGTTTCAACAAGGACTAGGAAAGTTGTGAACAATAAAAGCACATTTCCAAAAAGTACAAGTTATGAATTTGATTGCATGTTTATTTGTTCCAATTTTCGAAAAAAGAAATTTTCTGCAAAAGCCAAAATTAGACTAATAAATGTAATTTTTCAAAGGTAAAACCCTAATCCTTAAATTTATCTCAAATTATCAATTACATTTAAATTTTTATTAAAGTAAACAAACCCATAAACTTATTGATTTGGACAATTTAACCTTATTCTTTATAACATACTTAATATTTATTTATATCTTATTTATATAGATAAAATTAATATCCACAACATAAGTAATAACATATCAATAGTTTATTATGACATCTCCTAAAAGGCTTAAAATATTGGTTTTGATGGTAGGCCGCCATGTAAGATTGTGTGTTTTGACGGCCTATTAAGGCACATAAGCCTGTGTTTCAGATTTTGGTCTGATGGACCAACCACCTGGAGTATTGGGCTTCGAGAAAGTGGCCCAAATAGGGGTCCTACACCATTTTATGTTGTTCCCTGGCCCATCGGCATGGAAGTTTGTAGTCCTCTGGGCCCTTAACTTCTTCACCAATGATTTTTGCCCAATTCATGGGCCTTAACAAGGACCAAATCAATTACACCTAATCTAAAACATGTCACCAGTGAAGACTAAAGAATTCCTTGTTTGACCTTTCGAAGTAATGTCATGTCTAATGCTCCAATGCCATTGTCTCTTTCTGTATTAATAATGACCTTTGTACAACACGATGATAACAACTGCGAGAAAGAGATGAAGCTTGCAATTCCAAAATGCCATTTTAACTTCTATAATTCCCTTTCAATTACAAAACCTTAAATTAAGTCAAGAAGTTTAAACTTTTATTACATTTATGGCCTACTTTGTGTTGATTTTTGCAGCATAAGAAGTTGAGGGGCTTACTTACTACACCAAAATAATAATAATAATAATAATAATAATAATAATAACAATAACAATAACAATAACAATAACAATAACAATAACAATAAAGATTTAACTGCTAATATTGAGGGAATTGAAGGGCTTATATTTTTTTTTTCAAAATAGAGAGCACGTAAATGTAGATTTTTTAATTTTTAATTAATAAATTAAAATCTGTCAATAAACTTCTATTATTTTTAGACAGTATTTAAAAAAATAAAAAATTAATGACTTTAGCAGTTTATATTGTTGTCATAACCCTACCCAAATAATTCTCCGCTCATTCTTTCAAGACTAATGAAATTAATCGTTTCTTAAAAACCGATATAATAAACTATACTAGTTTTGGGTTGCATGACAGAAGGCAACCGGGCCTTTTCTCTTCCATATACTCTAGAATATCCACCTTTAGTGACTAAATTATTGATCATTAAATCTTTATTTTTCATCACAAATTATTATTAGTGACAAAATTTAAATCGTTAATAAAACCCTTGTCACTAATGCTCTTAGTGATAAATTAAGCACCTGTCATTGAAAATAATCTTATAGTGATAGAAAAAATTAACATTGTTAACAAGTTATTTATAATAATTTTATTCGTCACAAAAAAAAATATTCATCACAAATGTAATTATGGTACAAAATTTAATCATTAATTATTAAAATTGATATTAAATAAAAAA